AGGGCCTTGAGCATCAACCAGGTCCCTGCTGCCATTTTGCAGATGAGGAAACTGAGGCACAGAGAATGCAGGGACGGCCCAGAGTAGAAGGAGTGCCCGAAGAGGGGAGGGAAGGTCTTCGGGGTGGGCCTGGGGGTGGAAACCCAGCCTCCTGGGGTGGGGGAGACACAGGCGTCAGCTTGATGCTGGGGAGGAAATGGGGCCGGAGGTGAGGAGGCCTCTTTGAGGCTCAGTTTTCTCATCTGTGACTTGGAGACAATAATAGCACCGGCGTCCCAGTGCTGGGACGAGGACACCAGTGAGGTGCGTGGTGCCTGGCTCGGAGCCAGCTCCCAGGAGAAGGCGCTGCTGCCCCTCATGTCCCGGCGCCCTCGTCCCAGCCCTCACCCTCGCCCACTCTGGCCCCACTGCCCTGGCCTACTGGCTGTGCCCTGGAGGCCCCCCCCCCACCCCCCGCCAGCACCTTCGCCCCTGGCCCCTGGCCCCACTTTGCTTTTCCTTTCTCCCGGGCTGCTGCCGCCACCTCACGTCTTTCTACCGCGTGTGTCTGAGGCTCCCCCACCAGGGCTCAGCTTCTCCGGACGGGGGCGTGGGCGTGCTTGGTGCCGTGTGCCCAGCTCTTGGAACAGCCGGTGCTCAGTGCATCTGATGAGTGAATGAATGAACGTGGCCACCTTGGCCCCTGACTCTTTCTGAGATGTCTCCAATTCCTGCCAGCCCGAGCGGCTGCGCCTCGGTCCTGCCTCTGCTTCTGGCTCCCACAAGTCTTTCTGGCACTTGGCACAGCCACCCGTCTGCTGGGCCGGCCGGCCCCGCTCGCAGACCTTTGAACCGGGGCTGCCCTGCTCCTGCCTGCCACGGAGCTGCCGGCCGGAGGATGGCCCGCGCAGGAGCCCAGTGACGCAGGTCGTCCTGGGAAGAGCTGGGCCTTAGGTGCCTGGGAACCCAGGACAGAGCTGAGGTCAGAGGCCCTTGGCCTGAGACGGAGGCGGGTTCCCTGCATTGGGTGTGTGTGCGTGGGCGTGAGCGTGGGTGAGAGAAGGAGCACGTGTGCCCATGTGAGCCAGAGCCCCAGCCCCTGCTTGGCACAGAAGGAGACGGCGGGGGCTGGTGGTGGTGCCGTGACTCAGCGACCAGGGGCAGAGGGCAGATCCCGGGAGCTGGCTGGCTCCTGCCGCTGTCCCGAGGAGGGGACCAGAGATTTCCTGCCGTGAGAGCAGCGTGCGAGTCACGTCCCAGCTCTACCTCCTCTTTCCTGGATAAACTCAGACTAGCGATCAGACCTCTCTGAGCCCTGAAATGGGCACACGCCCACCTACTTCTTGGGCAGGGGCAGAAGTGGGAGTCTGTGTAGTGCCTGCGACCTTGCCTGGCACATAGTAGGTGCTTAACGAATATCCCAGTGTTTTTCTCCCTCCCTGAAGGGCCGTCACTTAGCACAGGTACCTCCTGTCCTAGGAGGACAAGGCCCGAGGCCCACGTAGAAGTGGGGGGCTGGAGCCGGCACACCCTGATGTGAGGCCGCTCTGGGGCCTGGGGCGGTGAGGGTGGGCCCTGATGGCCTCATTGCGCCCCGGCCTCCAGCAGCCTGCCACCACTGCTGCGGTGGCCCAGAGCCTTTGGGTGACAAGGAGGTGGCTTTGCTTCTTCCTACCTCCATTTCCTCATCTGTGAAATGGGCTCAATCAGACCTGCCTCCCAAATTGGATGTCAGATGGCCCTCCCTGCCTCTTCTTTCTTCCTTCCTTGTCCCCTTCCTTCCTTTCATGTATCATGCATCCACCTCCCTCCCTCCCTCCCTACCTACCTACCTATCCATCATCCATCTTCTCCAATCCCCCACCCCGCTGGGTCACAGATGGCCCAGTTACAAGGGTGGGTAACGCCCGCCAGTGATTTCCAAGTTTCTCCTGGGACTCGGCATTTTGAAAAGTTAGGGTTTACTAAACATGCTGAGCGAATCAGTGACTCTCCAATGTAGTTCCTCTTTCTAAAATGTCAGTCAGCACTCCCCTGAGGGTGGGTGGGGCCCCACTGCGGGCCTCCCCAACGCCAGCCCCAGGAGCTGGAAGCTTCCATAGCCCTGCGTTTCCCAGAAGCTGCTCGCCATGTCCTAGGGCCATCCGGGGGCCCCGGACCCGGGTGGCCCTCCGGTGCCGGGAGGCCTGGCCCCCCAGGCTGCGGTTTGCCTGTGTTGTGGGGAGCCCTGCGAGTGGAGGGGGTGACCTTTTGTCCCGCTCCGCGAGGGGCTTTCTGTTCCTCATTCTTTAGCCATGACAGGGACGCGTTTTTGTTTTTTCTTTTTCTGTCCAAGAGGATAAGCAGGCCTAGCCGTTGCTCAAGGGAGGGCTGACCCCCATCGCACAGAGCAGAGGAGGAAGTGTGGGGAAGGCCCCCAGAGCAAGATTCAGGCAGGAAAGGACTCTGAAGGGAGGCTGCGGAGGGGCCGCTGGGCAGAGGTCTGGGCGCTAGAGGTTCCGGCTGCGCGCCTTTGGCCAGGAACCCTCGGCCTGTGGCTGGAGAGAGAGAGGGCCCCCTTCCCCCCTTCCCCCCTCCCCCCTCCCCCTTGGCCAAGGCAGGGCCCTTTCCCATCAGGCCCTGTGGGCCTGACAGGAAATCCTCCTCCAGCCGGGCAGGCCCCCCTGGGCCGCATGCCGGCAGCCACCACATGAATGAGGGGCTCCCCTAGTTACTGTGGGTGCTCTGCTCTGCAGATGCAGGCTCCCTAGATCTGTGTCACCCCCGCCCCCCGCCCGCAGGGCCCCTCCTCGCCCTCGTGCGTGCTCTCCAAGGGGGAGGCAGCCACACTTTGAGGCCCAGCCCTGCCCTTGGGGAAGCCACCACACGCAGCAGGGAAGGCCCATTCTGGGGGCCGTGGGGGGGAGCAGCCCTCCTCAGCAGACAGCCAGTGCGTGTGACAGGAGCCGAAGAGGTGTGATTTCCCTGGTCGTGGGGCTGCCCTGCCTTTGACCACCGGGTCCCCTCCTGGTGCCCCTTCCCCGGGTCACCTTGCGCTCTCTGGTGGCGCCAGATAATCAGGCGTGTGCAGCTGTGGCGCGTCAGAATCACCTGGGCAGGTTTCCTTTTTCTTTTCCTTTTGAACAGGACAGCTTCCTGGGCCCGCCCTTGGGCTTCTTGCACCCAGTCCGTTGGGTGGGAGTTGGCATGAGTGACAGGCACCCTGCCCCCCAGGTGCTTTGGACACTGGCCGGGAGCCCCGCCCCCCGGCTGTGAGGAAGTCCTCTCCCTTTCATTCAGGTGCCTGGCAGCCTGCTCCAGGACCCCACGGGGAGGGGCAAGGGCTGGGAGGGAGGGCGTGCGTGTGCGCACACGTGCGCAGCCATGGGCACGTGAGTCCGCAGTCCAGATGGGGTGGCAGTTACCTTCCTAAACTCTGTGTCATGCAGAACGGTTCCCACTTCCCCCGCCAGCCACCTGGGTCTCTCCCATCCCCGGAGTCCAGAGCTGACTTCCTGGGGTCTGGGTTTGGCCTGGGCCGGGGGCGGGGTGGGGGGCTTCAGGGGCCAGCCCGCAGGGTCGGTGCTGCCATGTTTGGGCTGCAGGACCCTGCTGCAGGGTGGGACCCCTCCGGGAAATGACATTGTCAGGGAGCCTGCCACTTGGAACGGTGACTCCTGAGCACCTACGGCCTGACCGGCTCTGGGGGTTGCAGTATCACCCCCAGCCCACAGCCTCCGAGAATGCCCGTTTAGTGGGGGCACAGCCCTGCGCGTCAGCAGCCCTGAGGGGGGAAGGTCAGGATTCGGGGTACCAGTGGTTATTCAGGGTGGGCCGTGGGGGGGGAGGCTACCGTCAGAAGGGACCAGTGGCTTTTGTCAGATGCAGCAAGAGGCTGTTCTAGGTGAGGAAGGCAGCTTGGGCAGGAACGTGGGGGGGAGCAGCCACCGATGGCGGGGCGGCCAGAAACCCCGGGCCTTGGGGGGTGTTGGGACGCCAGGATGGGTCTGGGACAGCCTGCCAGGCCAAGCAGAAGAGGCTGCTGGGTGCCCCTGTTTGCTCGTTCTCAGTGCAGTGCGGGGGGCAGCTAAGGGCGCGCCTGCACAGGCAACTTCCAGGTGCCGGATGGGGAAGGAGGTGGGGTGGTGGTCGGAGCATGCAGACCCCCGTCTGCAGGCTGGGGGTCATTCTCAGGCAATGCTCATGACAGCTGGGGGCGTGGGTGCCCGGCTGGTACAGGGGGTCTGGGTGGGTGCAGTGGCACCCACTGACTGGAGCACCTGGAGCTCTTAGAACAACTTAGAGCACCCTGCCAGGGCTCCAGAAACGGTAACTGTCGCCCCCACTGTCCTCACAAACACTCATCGACTGTGCGCCAGCTCTGCCGAGGGCTGCATGTGGGAGCTGAGGGTCTAGAGACCATGAGGCCGTCGTTTCTGCCCTGTGTGTTGCAGACATGCACCCATGCAAGTTGGGAGGACAAGTAGGTACCCTATTTCAGCACAGTGAGATGACCGTTTGAAGGAGCTCTATCCAGCATTCAGAGAGAGCCCAGAGGAGCCTGAATCAGCCCCAGGGAGCCTGGGAGGGCTTCCCAGAGGAGGCGGCAGTTGGTTGGAAGGAAACAGGGGCGATTCCCAGGTGCAGGAAGGCGGGAAGGGGAGGCATCCTCTTTGGCGGAGGGCTACATTGTGCTGAGCACTGTGGGTCCTTGTGACGGAGGCCACTGCCTCCGAGGCAGCCCTCAGGGCCCTACATCTGCCCCGGACAGTGTCGGGAGCCAGTGTCACCCTCTGGCCGGCGGGCTCCGTGTCTCTGCCTGCAGACAGGACTGTGCTACACGAAGGAAGGAAGGAAGGGGGCAGGGACTCTCCCTTCTGCCTCCACCGCACCCCCACCCGAAGGGAGAAGCCCCATGTCCTTCATCATCCGTGGTCCGTGGAGCCCCAGCAGGGAGAGAGCTGAGCACTTGCGGGCACGGGGCGGGGATCTCTCTGGGCGCCAGGTTTGGCCAAGCTGACGACTGTCCTTCTGCCTTGCAGGATGCGCTCACCCCCTACATCCCGGAGCCTGGAAGCTCGTGCCGGCACAGAGAATACTTTGACAAGAAGTCCCAGATGTGCTGCAGCATGTGTCCTCCTGGTGAGGGACGGGCCCTGGACCCCTGACCTCAGACCGGTTCCATTCCTGGGGGCTGGTGCCTTGGAGGGAGTGTGTGAATAAGGGTTTGGGGGGCGGGCAGGGTTGTGGCTCTTGATTCTTACTGAACCCCTCCTAGTTCCATGAATCGGCCCTATGCTCCCTCTTACCTTTGCACACGCTGTTCCCTCTTCCCAACTCTGTTCCCTGGCCAACTCCTACTTATCTGTTAGACCTCAGCTTAGATGCCCGCCTCCTCCAGGAAGCCTGCCTGTACTGCCTGGCCAGATCTACTTCCTCCTCTGAGCTCCCAGTGGTCTCTGGTGTCCCCCATGGAAGCACCTCTTTCCATCCTGTGCTGACCTGGCTCCTCCTTTGTCACCCCCACTGTGTGTTCCTCTAAGACAGGGACCAGGTTTACTCTCTGCTGAGTTCTGAGCACCTGGCACCATGCCAGTCACGTACTGCGTACTCAGTACATAGTTGATGGAATCAGTGAATGCTTACCTGTTTCATACACGGTGGACCCGAGGCCTGACCCCCTGCGGGAGAGCTGGGTGGCCCAAAGCCCCGTGCCCTCCATTTATTCATTGGTTTATACATCATCCCTGTAATACTGATAAAGCATCTGCTACACGCCCAGCACTGTTCTATGTGCCGGGAATACAAGAGAGAGCAGGGCAGACAAAATCCTTGCCTTCGTGGATTTTGCATTTTAATAGAGAGACAGACAAATAAACAGAGGAAATAGATGTGCGATCCTGTCAGAGATTAAGTGCTATGAAGAAAACAAGGCCGGCTACGCAGACAGAGGCAGATGGAGTAGGCCGTGCTACTCTTCACAGAGTGGTCAGGGGAGGCCCAGCCGCGGAGCTGACACCTGGGCAGGGACGTGCAGGAGGGGAGGGAGGGAGTCCTGCACGTGTACGGGGACAGCGTGCCGAGCAGGAGCCACCGCAAGTGCAAAGGCCCTGCGGCGGGAGCCTGTCTGGTGGGCTCGAGGAATGGCGAGGCCAGTGTGTGGCTCAGAGTAAGTAAGCAGGGGCGGCGGTGGGGAGTTTAGATTTTATTCTGCGGGACCCAGGAAGTCGCTGGAGGGCTCTGGGCCATCGGCCTGAGACTCGGGCAGGCACATAAGTGCCTGTCGCCTCCCACGGCCATTTTCAGAGACTCCAGGGGAAGTGACTTTTCTTTCTTCTGTGAACTGGCAGGGTCTTTGTAAGAAGCGACTAGATTAGCACAGCAGGGACTATGGCGGCACAGGGCTCAGGGCTCAGAAGAGAACCTCCTTAAAGGTTTGCCTTGGTGCTCTTCTGTCGCCTGGCATGCCTTCTCTCCAGGCCTTGCTGGGAAACTGTACTCCCTCCCTGCTTCCTTTTTTCTCTCTAGTTTATACTCCCAGGTGGAGAATTTTAGCCAACTCTAAAGAAGAAAGGAGCGGGCGAACCAATTCTCACTAAAGTGTGATTGACTATAACAGGCAGTTCCAGTGGCAGAATTCTAGGCTCCTGGAAAGAGCAGAGGGGAAGATGTTTTAGGAGCCGTGGAGGTTCAGAGATGGAGGGACAGGTGGTACTTGCTGCGTGGGAGATGAGTCGACGGAGGGGTTGGAGTCCCGTCGAAGAGCCTTTGCAGCTAGACTGCAGAACTCTGGGCTTCTGGGGAACAGCGGGTGAGCCCAGGGCCTGGGAAGAAGCCCCTCCCCACTGAGACCTCCGGCCCTTGCTTTCTCAGGCTACCACGCACGATCCTTCTGCACTGATACCTCAGATACGGTGTGTACCCCTTGCGATGACAGCACCTACACCCAGATCTGGAACTGGGTCCCCGAGTGCTTGAGCTGTGGCTCCCGTTGCAGCTCTGGTGAGTAGGCCCAGAGGGAGGGGTGGTCCCCAGCGTCCTGCCCTGGGCACCTGGCATCCCAGCCCCTTGCCGAAAGCTGGCTGGGGTTCCCCCAGACCCAGTGTTTCCGAGCCCCAGGGCACAAGGTTGCGTGGGTGCAGTTCTTTACAGTTTATCTGTGGCATTTCCCTCCTGTCTCACCGAATCCTCTTCAATAGTCCCGCGGGACCGGGGGTGGGGGGGGCCGGGAGCAGCGGTGGGAGAGAGAACCGTGCCCATTTCAGAGTTCAGGGAGTTGTGTCTTGCTCATGCCGTGCAGCCAGACTGAGACTGCACGCTTGGGACTCTGTGGCCAGTGTTCTTTTTGCCCCATGCTAAGGGGGCGCGGTTGGGGCCGACCAGCCTGCTGGAGATCAGAGCTCTCTGTGGGTGGTGAGCTGGCTGGGAGGGCAGGGTAGCGTGGTGGTGGGTGGGGCCTGTGGAGGCGGGAATGACCCTGGGCTGCCTGCTTGCTCCTCCAGACCAGGTGGAGATGCAGGCCTGCACCCGGGAGAAGGACCGAGTGTGCGCCTGCAGGCCAGGCCGCTACTGCATGCTGCCGTCTCAGCAGGGGTGCCGGCTGTGCTCCGAACTGCGCAAGTGCCCCCCCGGCTTTGGCGTGTCCAGACCAGGTATGGGGCCGGGGCGCAGGGCCTTGGGGCCCCCCTCGGGTCTCTCTTTCACCGGCATCAACTCGTCAGCTGAGCCTGGGGACGTTGTTGGTGGTGGCCAGTCCACGTCCCCCATTTATTCTTTGCCCCAGTGCTCCCGGGGAGGCGGTCATGCACCATGCGTTAGGCCCTGGGGACCCAGAGGTGCATCAGATTAAGCCCTAAGCTACTGGGAAATCGAGTGGTGCCACAGGAAGATGAACCCATGTGACCCTGGAGACCAGGAAGTCACTAGAATCGGTTAAAGGACAATCCCCCAGCTGTGTGCGCGTGTGCATGCAGCTGTGTGCGTGTGTGCATGTGTGAGTGCATGTGTGCATGTGTATGTGTGTGCATGCGCATGTGTGTGTTTTCAGAGGGAGAGTCATAGACAGGGGTCCAGGGGCCCCTCAGACCTCCCCTAGGTCTCCGGTGCATCTGAGTTGGTGACAGGCTCCAATGTCTTTTTTTCTGAAGGAACGACAGCGTCAAACGTGGTATGTGCTGCCTGCGCCCCGGGGACATTCTCTGACACGACGTCGTCCACAGATATTTGCAGGCCCCACCGGATGTGAGTGGCTGAGTCCTCCGGTTCTGGAGGGGGAGGGGCAGGGAGGGGCCGTCCCTGGGTGACGGAGGGACGTGCTGTACAAGCGCCAAGTGCCCGAGCCATGGTGCCTGCAGCCCCCACGCATGGCCATGGGCTGAGGCATTGCCCGAGCTCTGTTCAGTGCCAGGAGGGGTCATCTAATGGTGGGTGGGTCCCAGGACAGAGAGCACGGCGAACGGGAGCCTTGCCCCGGGAGTCGGGACTGAGTGGGCAGCGTGGGGAGAGAGGTGGGGGTGGGGACAGGAAGGGGTAGTCTTAAAAGAGGACAGGGCGTGCACTCACACCCTCATCCCGGCTGGGCTGCGGGGACCCTTGCCCCCTGACCTGCCTCCCACGGGTGAGCCCGGCCGCCCTGAGCCATTCTGTCCTTCGTCACCACTGACCAAGTCCCCTCCCCCGCCAGCTGTGAGTCGACGGCCATCCCCGGCAATGCAAGCAGGGACGCGGTCTGCACTTCTGAGCCCCTCACCAAGACAGTGGGACCACACTCAGCCCTCGTGCCCCAGCCAGGGCCCACGAAACCCCAGCTCACGGAGCCAACTCCAGGGCCCCGCACCGCTCCAAGCCCCTCCGACCCTTTCTCGCTCCTGACTGCCCCAGTGGGAGAGGTCACCACAGGGAATCTCTCTCTTCCAATTGGTAAGTCACGAGGGGGCCCTTCACGCTTCCCCCCTCCCCTCTCAGAGACGTGCTGAGAGCCCGCTGTGGGCTGGATGCACTCTGTCCTTGGATGTACGTACGTGGCCGTGAGACTTACTCCTGAGTTACTTGTCACGGTTACTGAGAGCCCCGGGTTGGGAGAGGTGGGAATCAGCATTTTATCTCAAAGACAAGATGGTGTCCTAGTTTTGGTTCTTTTTTTTTTTTTTAAGATTTTATTTATTTATTTTTAGAGAGGGAAAGGAGGGAGAAAGAGAGAGAGAGAGAGAAATATCAATGTGTGGTTGCTGGGGGCCGTGGCCTGCAACCCAGGCATGTGCCCTGACTGGGAGTCGAACCTGCGATGCTTTGGTTCACAGCCTGCGCTCAATCCACTGAGCTACACCAGCCAGGGCTTTAGTTGTTGGGTATAATGAACCCATTAGGCCGTGACGACAGTGTGGGCTGGGCCACCCCACCTTGTGGGTTTCCTGTCGGGGGTCAGGACGACTGCAGGCCAGAAGCCTCCGACTGGGGGCCCTCGTGGTGGCTGTGGTCCGCACACATGCTTGGTTCGGCAGGGTTTGGGGCTTGTTTGTTTTGTCATTGAATTTGAGACCTTGGGACTGGCTTGGCTTGCCCTTCCCCTGTGACAGCCGGGCGCCTGGTGTACTTGAGTTTGCTTTTTGCAGCTGTTGTTTGAGCTTCTCTTGCCCTCCTAGGACTGATTGTGGGTCTGACATCCTTGGGACTGCTGGTGCTGGTGGCTGTGAACTTAGTCATCATGACCCAGAAGAAAAGTAAGATTCCATTCCTTTTTCCCTTTATCCACCTGTTCCGGAAGCTTCTCTGGGGTGCCACCAGGGAGTCAGACAGAGCTGGATGCCGGTAGACTCTGCAGGAGCTTAGGGCGTGGGGCAGAGGGTTCCTCCACTAACTCATCTACTGAAAGGCAGGACCCTCGGGGCTGTCGTGGGGGGTGGGGGACGGCGGGAGGCCAGGATCCTTGTCTGGGAATCCTGGGGGAGCCAGGCTGTCCGGAACAGGGGGCATTTGAGCTGGGTAAGATTCGGAGGGGGCATGTGTGCAGGAAAGGAAGGACCTGCTGAGCAGAGGGCGTGGCCTGAGCAAAGGGGGCGGGGTTTGGAAGCGGGTAGGGGCTGGTGGAGGGGAGTGGAGTAATGCTGAGCCAGCTGGAGAGTTGGGTGCGGGGTCCTCTGTGCTTTGTCTGGTAGGTAATTGTCTCCTCCACGGCTGGGTCTACTCCCGCTGGGTCTGCTTGGGCCCTGGTTACCTGCCACATTAGATCACTGTGGCCCGAGGAGGTCGCTGTCCCTGACTTGTCCTTTCTCTCCTCTTTGCAGAGAAGCCCTTCTGCCTGCAAGGAGAAGCCATGGTGGTGAGTGCCCCTCTGCCTCCCCTGTCCCCCTCCCCTCCCCCGCTCTCCCTCCCGGTGTCCAGTGGCGGATGCTGTGCAGAGCCCAGGGAGGCTGAGGAGAGGCCCCCGGGGGTCTGTCCTTGGGGGTCAGGCTGCCCTCCATGGGCCAGTAAAGGAGACTGAGTGTGAAATGCCACATCAAGGAGTGAGGGACTCGTGGTGTCTGTGGCAAGCGTATGGTCGTGGGCCTGTGGTGTCACCTTAGGCAGACCTGGAGTGGCTTGTGGCTGTTTCCTCACCTTTATTTTTTTTAATTTAATTTAATTTTTTAAAGATTTTATTCATTTGTTTTTAGAGAGAGGGGAAGGAAGGAGAAAGAGAGGGAGGGAAATATCAATGTGTGGTTGCCTCTTGCGTGCCCCCTACTAGGGGCCCGTACTGCACCCCAGGCATGTGCCCTGACTGGGAATCGAACGCGCGACCCTTTGGTTCGCAGGCTGGCTCTCAGTCCACTGAGCCACACCAGCCAGGGTGTTTCCTCACCTTTAAATGGAGACAGGCCCGCTAAGGGACTGTGCCATTCGCTCGGCTGGCAGGAATTCTCTGCATCTCTGTGGTGCTTACAAAGCACTTCCTCAAAGAGCAGTGGTTTTCAAACCGAGCACCAGGGTACCCCTGGTGTTCCACAGAAGGCCCTGGGGATCATCTCTGGGGTTGAGTCGGAACCTCGGGCCCTGAGTCCCCCCACTTCAACCAAAGCAGCTCACCTTGGCTCTTTTCTATAAAGTAGGGCCTGTGAGGGGCTTCTGCTAGAAACACAACACTGACGTGGTATTTTATCCGTTCTCCATCAGGAAGGCACTTGGCTATAAGTCACCGAAAACGTAAGGGTTGCTTAAAACAGGAAGGCCCTATCTTTCTCACATACCAAGAGGGTGAGGCGTTGCTGGCTGCTGGAACAGTTCAGTTGCATCCTTCGGAGAGTCTAGGAGGACCCCGGGCTCTGCCATCTTTAGTGTGTTGGGTTTTTGTTTCTTTGCTTGTGGCGCCAGGTCATGAGACGGTGGTCACCATGTCCTGTGGTCTCAGGTTCGAGGTGAGAAGAAGAGTGGGGACCAGCCAGGGCAGCCACGGTGCCTTCTATCAAGAAATAAGACACTCTCCTAACAGCCCTGGGTAGACGTCTCCTTTTGTCTCATTGGCCTGAATGGTGTCATGTGACCACCCCTAGCTGCAAGGGAGTCGAGGAAAGGGGGCACTGTGCTCTCCCAGCCTCTGTGGTGGAGGAGCACAAGGGAGAGCGCTTGGGGACGGGTGTGGGGCGAGCCGGTACACGGTGGCCGCCGCACTCCCGTGTCCGGTAGGCAGGGCAGGGTTTTACCCACGGTTACGGGTGAGGACACAGGAGCTCCCCCCACCGCCTCCTGCCCTGCTGAGGCCGGGCTGGTTTCCCAGCCGTGGCACCATTGATATTTGGGGCCTGATCATACTGTTATTGGGCACTGTCCTGTGCTTTACAGGCTGTTCGGCGGTACCACTGTCCTCTCCACACTAGACACCACTAGCTCTGCCTCCCAGGAGTGACGACCAAAAACGTCTCGGACGTTGCCAGCTGAGAGCTGCTGTGCCAGGGACAGCTCAGCCCCGGGCGGCCCAGTGCCTGAGGTTCCCACAGGGCTTTGGACTCGTCAGGGATGAGGGACTGATTTCAAGTCCTGATCTTGCTGATGAGCCAAGAGGGGCAGCGAGGGGAAGTGACTCGCCTGAGGTCACAGAGCACCACGTGTCCGGAGCTGCCCTGCGGTATTTCAGCAGATGCGAACCCTGGTTTGGGACTTCAGACGGTTTCTCATTCCCTGGGGTGCAAATGCCACCCCTTCCTTTTTCTGGCTTCCGCTCAGCGGAGCTGCCAGCTGCTGCGGGGTGGCCTGGAGAGCGGGCGTGCCCTGCAGGGCCCCCCCCCCGCTGCAGCCCCGCTGGAGCCACGTCCTCTCTCTTTCCATTTGTTTCCTCTACTCAATGCGGTGAGGATGTCTCAGGTGTGGCCCCACAGCCTCCGCTTCTTCCCCTTTCCCTTCCCTGAGCTTTGTGGTCACACGGTGTGAGCAACTCAGCTATTCTTGTTTTTAAACCTCCCCCAGGACGTGCTGATGGGTTTTACATGCTCATTGATTTTAGAGAGAGGGGAAGGGAGGGAAAGAGAGGGGGTGAGAAACAGTGATCAGTTGCTTTTCATACGTACCTCCGTCTGGGGACTGAACCCGCAACCTAGGCACGCACCCGGACTGAGAATCGAACGGGTGACTCTTTGGTGTACAGGAGCCTGCCCCAGCCCACTGGGCCACACTGGCCAGGGCCCCGCTGGCCGAGCCCCGTGCCAGGCCCTGCACCTGTGCCTCAACACTGACTGTGTCCTCACACAGCCCCGTGGGGCACACAGTACAATTACCCCCACTTTACAGGGGAGGAAACTGAGACTCAGGGAGGTTCTGTTACCCGTATGAGGTCAGCCCACTGGGCGAATGCCAGAGCCCAGGTTTGAAATGTGTCTGAAGCTGCAGGTTTGGGCAGGCCGGACATTCTAGGCTGCCCCAAGCACTTTCAGCACCCCTCAGGGCCTGCCCTCAGAGGCCGGTCACCGCCCCAGATGCCCTTCAGTCCCCAGGCCCCCACCCTCACTCCCACCCCTGTGCTTCGCCTGTGTCCGCTCTGTTCCTCAGCTGGCTGGTGGCGGGCCCAGGCTGCTGGGGTGGAGGGTGCGGCGGCTCCTCTTGCTGCAAAAGCAACCACAAGTCATGGTGGGACAGTGGCTTCCCTTTTTTTAGGAAAGGTCAGCATCTTCACGTGTGAGCTCACCCACAGTCACCCCCACAGGCACGCTCATGCACAGGCTCATGTTTGACAATGAGAGGGGTCATTGATGAGGTGCCGAACGCACGCCAGGCGCAGCTCTGAGCATTGTTTATTCTCGCAGCCACGCTCTGACGCCCGCACTAAGATTATTGCTCCAGTTTCATGGTGCAGGAAACTTGGGTTCAGAGAAGTTAAGTAACTTTCCCAAGGTCACACAGCCAAGGCCAGTGGCCTTGGGACACAAACCTAGGAGTGCCTCTCCTCCCCACCCCCGGCACGCACATTCACTGTACCTCTCCCAGACGTGCACACACGTACCCTCAGAGGCGTGTGCGTGCACTTCACATACCCTCACCCCTGTGCATGCAGGCATGTGGGCCCCATGGACATGCACCTGCACGTGCAGACAGGCACGGCCCCTCTGTCCGGAGGACCTGGCTGCTGGGTCTGCCCCGTCTCTGCGTCTGCACACGGCAGAGAGGGGCTGGGGGGCGAGAAGGGGCGGGCTGCCTGGGATCCTGCTTTTCACGTGAACCCCCTCCGCACCCCACCCCCTCCCTGGGGTCCCAGCCCAAGGAACAGGACTCAGGATTTATCTGCCCCACTTGGAACCTGTCTGAACTTTGCAACTTGTAAGGGAGGGAGGGAGGGCCGTGACCTTTGGGGGTTCTGTTCCCTGAAGCCCTGGCCGCAGCAGAGGAGGAGTGTGAAAACCCCCTTCTCTGGGAGTTGTGAGGAATGGCATTTGGATGCTCCTCCTCTTCCTCCCTCCCCATCTGACCAAGTTCAGAGCAGGGCTGGGAGTGGGGTCCCGTGGCCAAGGGCAGACCCCCTGGGCAAGTGCAGCATGAGCTAGAAATCTAGAAATGCCCTCCATCCCCTCAAAGCTGGGGAGTGGTGATGGGGGGTGGGACCACAGAGGTGGGATACCGCTGCAAGTCAGTGGTTCTGGAACACGGATCCTGGCTGGTCCTGCCCCTCCCACGGACCAGCTGTGTGACGCCCAGCAGGGCACACCCCCTCTCTGGGCTTCCGTGGCCTCAGAGGAGCTACTTGGGAAGGCTCCTTCCAGCCTGAGCAAGAGCCCTCAGGATGTGGACGGCTTCTGAGGGCGCAGGGGCTGAGAGGCCACAGCCCAGGTGGGCGGGCCTGGGGGACGGGCTGCGGTGATTGGCCGGTCCGGGGAGGGATCAGGTGCTCTGCCTCTGCTCAGAGCGCAGCTGGAATTGTAGCTCCTTCTGGAGCGAGGGGTTGGGGTCTCAGCCCTCCCTGGGGAGGGGGGTCTAACATGCCCGGGCCCCCCACCCCACAGCAACGGCTCACCCTCTGACCCTCCTCTCCCCTACCCTGCTGAGGTGTGTCTCACCAGCCCTTCTCTCCCCTCCGTTCCCGTTTTACCCTCTCATCCTGGGCCGTGGGTGAGAACGTGGCCCCTTCCGCCTTCCTTCCTCCCGGGACCCGGCAGTCACCTGGAACCCCAAGGCAAGGACTCGTGTGCCTGTCCGGCCGACATGGACAGGCAACAGCCTTGCAGTGGGATTTCTAGGTGCTCCCCGCCGTGCTGTCTGCAAATGGGCACCTGTCTTGGGCCTCCAGAGCGGAGACACCCCGCACCCAGGAAAGGCCTCGTGGGCCATAGCCCAGCTCTGCCAAGTCCTAACTGTGTGACTGTGGGCAAGGAGCTCAACCCCTCTGGGCCTCGGTTTCCACACCTGCAAAGCGAGGGTAGCACTGGGCTGTCGGAAGGGGTAGCACTGTGGAGAGTGTCTCGGAAGGGCGTCAGCACAGTGCTGGGCGTTGGATGCCACGCAGGTGTTGGCTACAGTTTTGTTATTGTCGTCGTTTTGTTTATGTTCCCCAAGAAAAAGACACTGGGGGAGTCACAGAGCAGCCCGGGGGTGCCCTCTGGAGAGGACCTAAGTAAAAGGGCTGCCTGCACTGGATTACTGATGCAGCACGGGGGGCAGCAAGCTTTTCCTGTGCAGGGCAGGGGGTCGGCGCTGTCGGCCTCCAGCCCCGGGGTCTCCGTCACACCACTCACACCGGCCACCGCTGTGGGAGGAGCGCGGCCACAGATGCTGCGTGCCCACGTGGGAGGGAGGGGCTGCGGTCCGGCACAGCGGTACCTATGGACACTAACTTTTGAACCTCACGTAGTTTCACGTGTTACAAAATATCAGTCTTTAATATTTTTTCGACCATTTGAAAATGGCAAAAGCATTCTCAGCTCGCAGCCTGTACAGAAGCCGTGGCCTACCAGCGTGGGTCACAGCGGCAGTTTGCATGGCCCTGACTTACCAAGCCCTCGTGTGGGGCGTACTGCGTACCGGGCATTGCTCGAGCACTTTGCAAATACTCAGCCATTTGATCCTCACAGCAACCCTAGGACGTGGGTTTCCATTCTCCGTTTGGAGATGAAAAATGAAGGCCCAGAGAGGCTAAGTAACCTGTCCTAGGTCACACAGCTAGGGAGTCACAGAGTCACGACTTGCAGCCACACGTCTGGCTCCAGGGTCCATGCTCTTGGCCGCTAGGCTGAGCCACATCACCTTGTGCTGGGGGGGTGACCTTGGGCGAGTCACTCTTCTTCTCCGGGCCTCTGTTTCCTAACACAAAATGAGGATGGAAGTCCTGCCCCACCTCGAACACTAATAGCTGAACAGGCCCACCTACCTGGCACCCTGCCCGAAGAGGGCTCCCACTCCCCGGGGCGGCCGGGGGCCGATCCCGGAAACCGCAGAGAACCGCGTGTCCCGACTGCACTGTGTGTGGAAAGAACGTGCCCCGTGGGCAGAAGCGTCGTGTAAACTGTGAAGTGCGCGTGGCATGGGGTGCAGATGGTGGCAAGAAGGCGGACGGGGGAGGGGCTGGCTGGTGGCCTGACCTCTGCCCCTCCTCTCCTCCCCATCCAGCCTCACCTGCCCGCTGAGAAGGCCCAGGGTGCGCCGGGCTCCGAGCAGCAGCACCTGCTGACCACGGCGCCCAGCTCCAGCAGCAGCTCCCTGGAGAGCTCGGCCAGCACGGCGGCGGCAGCGGCGGCGGCGGCGGACAGGAGGGCAGCCTCCGGCAACCAGCCACAGGCACCGGGCAGGGACCAGGCCAGCGGGTCCGGGGACGCCCGGGCCAGCTCCGGGAGCTCAGGTAAGAGGCAGGAGCCCCTCTGGCTTCATCCCTCCTTCATGTTTCTTCCTGGTTTCTGTCTGAGCCGTCTCCTCCTGGGCCTCCCCTGAGGACCAGGCCCGAGCTCCCGGCGTAAGAACATTGGTGTGCCCTCCAGCTTCGCCTCCCTACCGCCCTCGGGTGCAGCACTGAGCCGCAAGGTTCTTCCGGTCCTCTGACCCCCCAGTTCCCTTCGCCTTGGCCCATGTGGGTTCTTTCACCAGGAACACCCTTCCTTCCAGACAGCCCCCGCTTGCCCTTCGAGTCGGATATCCAGGCAGGGAAGTTTTCTTGTGTTATATATCTAATATGTAATAGTATTACGTATTAATGCCACGGTATTATAGAACTTATATGATACCATTGTTTTAGATTGTGTGATCTATTACTATCAGTTAGACTTTATAGACAAGGAAGCTGAGGCCCAGAGAGGTAAAACAGCTTGTTCCAGGGCACACAGCTAGTGTAGGGAGAGCCAGGCATCACCCTGGGCCGTGGGACAGAAAGCTGCCGTGGATCAGCGGGGCCTCCAGGGCTCCACTGGCTGTGGCTCATCATCCGGGTCCTTTGGGCCCGAGGCCCCAGGTTGGGTGTGCAGTCTGGAGAAGCCCCTGCGCCCCCCCCCCCCTGCTTTAGCATCTGCATTCTGCCCCGAATTTGGACAGGTGTCACCCTGGTGGGCGTCTCCACCAGTGCCCACACTGGAGGGCATCCCTGCAGGGGTCCCCCAGAAAGTCGAGCTGCCTTGGGTGGCTTTGGTAGTGAGAGGCCAAATCTGCTGGCCCGTGTCTCCCCGGCTCACCCAAAGAATGACGGTGGACTCAGGTCATTTCTAGATGCCCTCCCGGCTGCTCCGGTGCCGCGAGAATCCGAGCCTCAGCTTCCTCATCTAGAGAGGAGCCAGGAGCCCTGGCGTCTCCTTAGCAGGGCTGCCGGTCTGTCCTCCTGGCACCTGGCTTGGGGGTGCTTCCTCCCCGGGCTGCCCACCCAAACGAGGCGGCCTGCTGTGGTTCACCACAGCCTGCCCTCCACATGTGGTGTCCTATTGGGGCCCACCCAGCCTGAGAGCTCCCCAAGGGGGCTCAGGTCAGTGCCTGGGATACAGCAGGCGGCCCTCAACGTTTGTTGAATGAATGAATGATTGAGTGAGCTGCAAATGTAACTCTTGGGCTTTGTCCACCTTTTGGATTCGCCTTTCTCGCCTTTCTTAGCGATACCTGCTGCACGGCCGTCCTGGTGTGGCTTCCTCCCTGCCCCACCCCGTGTGGTCCCCTGACCACGTCTGCCCACCCCTTCCGCCCTCTGCCCCTTCTCCGTTCCTTCCCTTCCTGCCTGTCTGGCCTCTGCTGTCCCCTTTTCTCCCTCCCACCCCAATACCCCTTGCCACCGTGGGAACCGGTAAACCCTGTTGCGGTGCCCCCATCCGCCCCCGCACTGTCTCATTTGCAGTGTGCAAAGGCCATGGTGACTTTGGGTGACATTTGGGTGCTGTGGAAACGCAGGGTGGAAATTTCCTCTGGCCCGTGATTTCAGCACCGCCCCTCCCCCCTGCCCCCCTGGCCTGTTCGGGGTTGTCCTGAGAGCGGCTTCCCAGCTCTGACCTCCTCTTGGATCCACTGGAGCTGGGGGAGCTGGGATGGGGAGAGCACTGGAAAGCAACCAGCCAGGCCCCCGGTGCCCTGTGGGCACCGCAGACATGGGGCACTCAGCAGGGCCCCCTGGTGGCAGCAGCTGTCACTTTCCAGGGGGTTTGGTGTGTCCAGACCCTTACATGCATCGCCTGGCTTTCCCATCGTCCCTCACTGGCTAGTTAGGAAACTCAGATGCCTGCAGGGGGTGGGCGGGAAGGCCGTGGGGGTGGGGCGGGAGGAGGGGAGTGGGGGGCTTGGTTGTTCAGATACTCGCAGAGCAGATCTGGGGGTCAGCTGTGGCTCTCCGAGCAGGCGAACGTGGAGATGGAGGGGCTGGGCCACTGGTTTTGATGGGCGTATGAATTGCATGTCAGGTGATGGCAAAGGGAGGTGCATTCTAAAACACAGTCCAGGAAACAGCTCGGTCGGGTTGCGCTAAAAGGAGATGCCATTCCTCCGCGCCCTCGCGTCCCCGCCCAGCAGTGAGGGATGAAGTGAGACATTGTGGAGAAGCCAGGCGGTTTGTTCCTTACGTGTTCTCTGCTGGGAGTGGAGTCCTTGAACATCATTCACATTGTTTCGATGGCCACTGTGTTACTTTCAAAGGACAATAAATGCCGTGAGATTGTTCTCACTTTAAAGAGGGGGAGCAGCTCAGAGCCTCTGATGTTGATTCTTTGGCCTACGGAGAGCGGGTCATTGACAGGGCTCTTGGCTGGTCACAGTTGGTGTGGCCAGTGCTGCTGCTGAGGCCAGGACCGGAAGGGAACTCATCTCGACTGCTTGACCGCTAGTTTGTCACGGGTACTTCCTGGCCCTGCTTACTTTTTGGATTCTTTGTGGGAAGTAGGCTTTTTCTTGGAGCACCTGCACCTGCTTTCTGTGATTGGCTCCTCCCACCCAGGGGGTGGGTTGCGCTGGGGATTCTTAGAGATGAGGAAATAGGCACAGGAACTTTTACGCAACTCGCCCAAGGTTAACAGCGGAGCTGGGTTGGAGGCGGGGCCCCTTGGCCCCTGGCCCAGTGCTTCTCCCGCCCCCATGCCTTAACCTGCCTCTTGGGCAGGAGACGGGCCGTGATGACGTCCCCGCTCCCTGCTCCCCAACTGACCTGGCCCCTCTCTTCTTCTGCAGAGTCCTCCTCTGGCAGCCCCCGGACCCAGGTCAATGTCACCTGCATCGTGAACGTCTGCAGCAGCTCCGACCACGGCTCTCAGTGCTCCTCCCCGGCCAACTCCACAGCGGGGAGCCCGGACTCCAGCCCCGCAGGCTCCCCAAAGGACGAGCAGGTCCCCTTCTCCAAGGAGGAATGCCCTTTTCAGTCCCATTCGGGGGCCCCAGAGACTCTGCAGCAGAGCACAGAGGAGAAGCCCCTGAGCTTCGGCGTGCCCGACGCCGGGATGAAGCCCAGCTAACCAGGCTGGCGTGCGCCGAGTCCCCGCCCAGGCGGGCTGACCTCTGAGCCCTCTCGGTCCCCACCGCCCAGCACTCGGCTCTTTCTGGGCCACATTTCTTCAGTGGCCTCCACGGCCTTGGCCTTTCTCTCACCTGCCGTCTTAGGGAGAGTCATGGGGAACCTCTCCTTCTTGCCACAAGGCTAGCTGGGAACGCTGGCGGCCCGGGCGGGCCTCTGCCTCTGAACTGCCCTGTCTCTGGTTTTGTGAACTTGGCTTCTGAAGCCCTCGTTTTATCCCGGGGCCCTGCCGGCTCTGGCTCCCCGGGGGGCCCCAGCATCCTGCCCTCCAGAGGGGCCGGAGGGGGTGGGGAGTGCCGTGCGCCATCCATGGAGAAGGGGCTGCCTGCGATGCAGCCTGAATGCTGAGACTACAGGGTGGTCCCAGGAGGGGAGGGGGCTGTCATCAGTCAGGTGATGGGGTGGGGGTCCCCTGGGTTAGCTAAGGACCCTGGGGCATCACCACCTTCCAAACTCCTTTTCTGCCCGTCCCACCTCTCGTGCCCGGCGTGAAAATCAGACACCCAGAGGGCCCACGTGGGCGGCCTGGCGGCATGCCCTGTCCTGGGTGGGTTGGCAAACCTCTGACAGGAAGTCTTCCTATTTTAATATGTGGCATTTAAAAAAAAAAAAGTAAGCGGCCTTAGACAAACAAGTCAACAACACAACAAAGCCAAAACCTCAGAGTTTGCCTTCTCTGCCTTTGACCTTCACCCCTGCGCCCACAGCGCCCGCCCCGCCCCCCTCCCTCGCTGTCTGGGGTGCGGCTCCTAGGCCACACCTTGTATCAGGGAACTTGTATCGGACCTGGAGATGACCGTGGCCCCCAGCAGTCACTCTCCTCCTACCTCAGCCTGGACCTCCCCGCCCCACCCCGTGACTCCGGAGGGGTGCTCCTGTCCCCCTCAACCTCCTCCCACTGTCCCCCGAGGCCCAGGCCCCAGGGGGGCCACGGGGCCACTTTGGTACTGTGCCTGTCACGATCCCCAGTGGACGTGAGACGCTGAGAGCCAGTCTGTGTGTCTGTGTGTCTGTCCTGTGCAGTGGGTCTGTGTAGCCATTGTTGTTGGGCCGAATGGCCTTCCCGAAGTCGCTGAAGCTAAGTTTGCCATAGAGTCCTTACCTATTAAAGAGTCAGCCCAGCCCGCTGAACACACTGTCCACGCCCTTCAGCGGGTGGGCATGTGCGGCCTCACCCGGTTCTGCAAAGAAGGGCACTGGGGCTCCTTGAGAAGCCATTTGGGTTCTCGGTACTTGGATCCCTTGTTGAAAAATTCCACTGGACTTGAACTTTGCAGCCGAACTTTTAGAGGGTAGGGGAGACCAGCCATGACCATGGGGACAAGAAAGGCTTCCCACCCTGGAATCAAGATGTGCTTGTATTGCCTGAAGAGGCCAGGGTCTCTGCCCGCGTTGGACTCTGCTCGGCCGTGGAGCAGGGCTGCCCCCTGGTGGACAGTGCCGGGAGGCCCTCAGGCCTCTCACGCCGACTCCAGTAGGGCCTGGAAGCCATGAAGTGAATTCAAGGAGAGCCTTTCTGGATGTAGCCTCCATTCCCCGGCTGTGTTAGCCCCAAGACCGTGTGAGGTGTTGCACTGCATATTGGAAAGCGTTCCTGCTTCTGAATAAACCTTCCCTTTGTCTTACACGTTGACCCGGCCTCTTCTGCTGGCTCCTCCCTCCTCACCCCGGTCCTTATGCCTCTTCTCCACCTGCCGGTCCCGTTCAGCCTGTGGCTTGCAGTGCCACGGCTACATCCTGCCAGCCCACGGCGTTGGAGGGGACAAGTGTTTACTGCGCTGTCCGTTCGTGGCAGGCACCACTCTGGGTGCCGGGAGGCAGCGGCTCCTGCACCGAGGGGGTGGGAAGAGACCTTGAGCAAACGCACAGCAAACGGTGAATGAGGCCAACGTGGAGGACCTTCTGGACCAGGCCATCAGGGGAGGGACCGGACAGGTGATAGGGAGCAGAGAGGCCTGCAGAACGGAGGGAGGAGCCGAATACCGCCCCCCGCCCCTGCACCCAGGGCCTGGCGGGGTGCAGTGAGAGGGCAGGGGAGCAGCAGCTCTGCTCAGGTGGGCAGTGGGAAAGGGGACTCCCCAGCACGTCGGAGCCAGTGGAGAGACGCGGCCAGATCTGTCTTTTGGAAAGATGTCTCCAGGGGCTGGGAGGGGGGTGGGTTGGAAGCAGGGCTGTGGGTGGGGACAGGGATGCGAATCGCCTCCTTGACTCTCTTGGCCTCTCCTTCCCAGGAGGTGGGGTGGTCCCTCCTGAAGCCCCCTTGCTCTGGCTACCGTGGGGGCTGGGGAGGGATGCATGGAGGGGAAGCAGAGAGACCACTGATGGGTGCACCGCTCTGGTTCCTCAGCCCTCCCAGCTCTGTGCCCTGGAGGCTGCCCTCGACGAACCGCGTGCCCGTTCCTGCTCTCTGCATCCAGCAGGGTCTGCCCCCGGGAAGGCGCTGGCAGGAGACAGGGGGCGGGGGAGCAGAGCAAGGCCCAGCTGTATTTCCTCCTCTCTGCCCCCCCCCTCCCAGTGGCTTCTCTACCTGTAACCACCCCCTGCCATGCTTTGCTGCCCCCATGCCCTCTTCTGCCCCAACCACCCCTGTCCAGTTTCCCCTTCCACACACCACGGTGAAAACAGGGGGCTCCCTGTGAGGGGGCAGAAAGGAAAACTTCCCATGCCTCCTCTCCATCTTCTAGTTCTGACACTTCCGATCCCCAAATGTGGGCTCCCACCCCCGCCACATACACCGAGCAATTCAGTTCCTACGCTGTCTGCCTGGAGGCCGTGTGTCAGATCCCACAGGCTAAGGGCTCAGTCCCACAAGACTGTCCCCACTTCGGATGCCAATCACAAGTCCAGGCTGCACCTGTGCTTCCGACGCATCATCATCTGTAAATCAGAGGTTCCCACGCCCCCCTTCTTGGCTTTGATGAATTTGCTAGGGCGGCCCCCAGAGCTCAGGAAAGCAGTCTACCCACTAGATCACCAGCCTATTACAAAAGATACAACCCAGACTCAGGGACAGCCAGACGGAAGAGCTACACAGGGCAAGGGTTCTGTGGGAAGGGGCTGGAGGGTCCGTGTTCGCGACCCCCTGTAGCATTGTGGTCTGTACAAGCACGCCTCGTTTTATGGTGCTTCTCTCTACGTTCATAACCTGGGAACTCTTGAAACCCCGTCCTTTTGGGTTTTATTGAGGCTTCATCACATAGGCATGATTGATTAAATGATTGGTCACTGGCCATTGGTTCAAACCCTAGCCCCTAACCCTAACCTAGAGGTAAGGGGTGGTTGGCTGAAAGTTTCAACACTCTAATCACATGGTTGGTTTCCTTGGCAACCAGTCCCCATCCTTAGGGGCTTCCAAACATCAGGCATTATGGATTGCAATACTAACCATTGATTATTGATATGAATAACAGACACTGGTTTCACCTCTATGGCTCTGGAGATATCTCAGAATACGAGGACACAGAACAAGCATTAGGACAAAAGGTGGTCCCAGTGCTTGCTCTCCTTTTAAAAAAAAAACAATATTGGCCCTGGCTGGTGTAGCTCAGTAGAATGAGCTCGGGCTGTGAACCAAAGTGTTGCAGGTTTGATTCCCAGTCAGGGCACATACCTGGGTTGCAGGCCATGACCCCCGGCAACCTCACATTGATGTTTCTCTTTCTCTCTCTCTCCCTCCCTTCCCTCTCTAAAAATAAATAAATCAAATCTTTAAAAAAAACGATGAGAGAGAGGGAGAGAGTGCATTTGTTTTTCCACTTACTGATGCATTCATTGGTTGCTCCTTGTATATGCCCTGATTGGGGATCAAACCCGCAACCAGCAACCTTAGCCTATTGGGACGATGCTCGAACCACCTTAGCTACCCGGCCAAGGCTCAGTGCTCTTACCACTTAGAAACCTCCAAGGGATTTTAGGAGCTGTGAGCCAGGAACAGAGAAAGAAGACCACACATATATGTTTGGTATGACAGGCATACCTCCGAGGTGTCGCGGGTTCAGGTCCAGACCACCACCGTAAAGCCAGTCGTCATCTTTTTGCTGGTGGAGGAGTTTGATTTCAATGCATAAAAAAATGCAACACCCAGAAACACAATAGGGAGAATGCAATAAAACGAGGTGTGCTTGTGTAAATTGCAAAACTCAGGGGGTCTATTTTGAAGCAGCTGGAGGCAGCCCTGTGTCTGTTGGGGTGACCAGTAAATATGGGCCCGGGGCAGCCTCTCCTGCCTCTTTGTTTTCTTTAACCATCCAGGAGCAAGTGGGTTGGTTCTCTCAGGCAGGGCCAGCGTGGGTGGGGAGGGAACAACTTGACTTCTCTTTACCTAGTTTCCACCCACTCATCATCATTAGGGAGCACAGCAGTGGATGGACTAGCACGGTAGTCAGGAGTCTGGACCCCCTCACGCCACCTGCCCAGGGGCAAGTCCTGGCTCTACCACTTCCTGTCTGTGTGACCTCAGGCAAGTTCATGAACCTCTCTGTGCCTCATTCTCCTTGTCTATAAGAGGAGGTTAAAATAGTACCTCCCACAGAGTAAGGGATTACAGGAGTTGCTATCTGTACAATGCTTGGAACCCATGCCTGGCACAAAGTAAGTGCTCAATAAATATTAGCTGCTTTTTTTTTCTTGCCCATGTGGGTGCGGGACGTGCAACAGAGGCTGGGACAGACCAGGTCCCTGCTGAGGCTGACATGCTAGGAGGAGCTATATAAAAAAATACCTGTAGCCCTTGCTGGTGTGGCTCAGTGGACTGAGCGCCGGCCTGGCTGGTCTGATTCCCAGTCAGGGCACATGCCTGGGTTGCAGGCCAGGAGGCAACCAATCGATGTCTCTCTCCCTCTCTTTCTCCCTCCTTTCCCCTTTCTCTAAAAATAAATAAATAAAATCTGAAAGAAGAGAAGAAACACCTTTAGGCTATGCCAGGTGGGGGTAGGTGCCAAGAAGAAAAATACAGGAGTGTAAGGGGACAGAGAAGGGTGGGGGAGCTGCTGGTTTGCCAGGCGGGGCGATGAAGGCTTTTCCAAGGAGCTGAACTTGGAGCAGCCTTGGGGACACGAGGGAGGCAGGGAGGTCGGGGAGGGCGGCCGCAGAAGCCCCGGAGAGGATGGAGGGTTTTATTCCTGGTGGGATGGGAGGGGTCCGAGCCGGGGTGTATGAGCAGCTCTGTAGCTCTGCCAGTGTCAGAGTTGGGTAACTGAACTTCGGTTATTTTATCTGCATAATTGCCCTAGGAGGTAGGCGAGGTCCCCATTATCCCCACCGTGCAGACGAGGACTCTCACGGGCTGGGTTTGATACTGATCCCATGAGTCAGGTGGGACGAACAGTCTGTGTACCGTGGGAGGCTCTCAATACCCAGCTCGGTGGAATTTCACAAGCGAGTCAAGGGGGAAGGGCCCTCTCTTTCGGGACTTCTCTGCCCACCGGGAGCTCCCTATTCGGGAACCAACCAGCAGGGCAGCGTCCTGCAAGCTGGGAGGTGGGGCTGGACGGCTGCTTGGGGGCGAACCTGAACTGGTGCCCTGCTGTGTGTGTGAACCCAGAGCAACAGCTGGCTGGCGGTCTCTCCCTGGAGCTCAGAATCTCCGCTGGAAGAGAGGGGGCTGGCGTGTGAGCTGTGGTGTGTCCTTTGTTGCCCCCTCAGGGCGACAGCACCACCTCTGCCCACGCTGTCTTCATGTTCACAAGAGACTCTGGATGCATAAAAGTAATTTTTATGTCGACTACATTAAAGCAAAATTTTGGAGATGTTTGGTTAAATAAAACATTACCATTCATTTCACCTGTTTCTTTTTTTTAAAGATTTTATTTATTTATTTTTAGAGAGGGAAGGGAGGGAGATAGAGAGACAGAGAAACATCAATGTGCGGTTGCTGGGGGTCATGGCCTGCAACCCAGGCATGTACCCTGGCTGGGAATCGAACCTGCAACACTTTGGTTCGCAGCCCGTGCTGAATCCACTGAGCTACGCCAGCCAGGTCACCTGTTTCTTTTCACTCTTTTAAATGTGGCTGCTTAGACTTATGTATGTGGTTTATGTTACATGCTCTTGAAAGTTAAATGCCTTCAAGATCTGATTAAATTAATTCATAACTAAAATGACAACTCCCCCTCCCCTGAGATCCCTACTTCCCCTCATAGGGCTCTTACATCATCACCTCAAATATTGTATCATTTACATATCCGTTATAGTTATTGCTTACCATCTGTTCCTCTTGATAGAACATAAGCTCCAATAGGACAGAACTTGGTCTATTTTGCTCAGTGATGTAGCCCCACGTGGCTAGAACAGTGCCAGGCATACAGTAGCAGCCCAATAAATGGTGAACAAATGAAAGAATGAATACACACATAGGAGGTGTGGGGATTCCAGTCTCCAAATCTTCCCATTTTTTCCTAGAGAAGTTCCAAGTATAGATTTTCACATGTAAACTCTAGCTTTTAAATTGTCGTAATGAATTTAACTTATTTGAAAGGCTCGTGTGGGCCAAGAGAAACATTTCTGCAGCAGCTGTGGCGGCCTGTCAGATGACCCTGGAGGCTGATACGCACTAGACCAGGTGGGGAGGGGAGTGCTGAGCAGGGGCCCTCAGGTCTGCTTGTCTCAGCAAACATGCCCCTGCCGC